GGGGATGGTGATCCCTGTGTCAATGAGGTAACACGTGAGGCATCTGGTACAGTGTGTCATAATGAGGATAATGTTCATAGGACCAATTTCTACTTGTGAATTCCCTGTTTATCTTTGTAAGCAGTTTATCAGTTAAGGTATTTTAGCATTCTTGATAGAAGTGACAACTTTTAACAAAAAAATACACTCACATCAACAGAAAGAATTTCCTGAACTCTAATGGGCTTCTAGGCCATATGGAGTTTCTGCCTTATATAAACCCACAATGTAAATCTGTTTGTTTATGGAGAAAACTTGTATTTTGAATGGGAAAAGTAACTCAAGAGCAGAGATCTTTGTCTACTGTAATTTATAGTGGTCTGTTTGTTGGACTTAATTACCTTGAATGGCCTTTCACTTTTTCCCTGGATAATATTTTATAATTCTTCGTAGTTAAGATTTATAGCAACGTAGTTGAAATATAAAACTTCCTATGTGTGTTGACAGGGCAATAAATTTCTGATTTATTTTGGAAAGCAAACTATAAAACAACATAATATCGTCTAGTTTTTGCAAAAAAAAAAAAAACATCTATAGGTAGAATCTGGACTGTATAGGAAGCATACAGTCAGTGGCTATATCTATTTAGGAATATTCAGTACTGTTTATTTAGCTGATCTCCCACTCAATTTATTGGCAAAGAATATTCATTACTGATATAAAAAGTTTTGTGCACCACAGTGCTTACTCCATGAATTAGGAGCTCAGATTGTAATCTTACCTGAATTATTAGCATTTGGTGTTGGCTCTGCCCCATTGAGCATGTGCTAGCTTTCTTTCCTTCCCTTGTTCTTTCTCTCATACATAGCATGACAGCTTGCCTGTGTTCTAGGTTAATGCTCATTGCAAAAAGGCTTGGTTGTTATTTTGTTAGTTTTTTACTGGACCATTTCAGTGAGCCTGTTTTTTACATTTTTATGCTGGAGTACAATCTTCATGACTACTTTCCATAGTCCAGGCAAGGTCTGTCGACTGCATTCTCTATTTCTCTGGAGACACATTTAGGTCTCTGTATCACAATCTGGTCTGTTGTTTAGGTCATTATGTAATGACTCTGGAATTATCATAAGAACAAGACGCCTCGTTAACAACAAGGTTGAGGACACTTGGAACCAAATGTAATGTTTAAGGTGTAAGTAAGTATGGAAGAAAAAACTGATTGAATGGCTTTGGAATTTCTAATACAAGCAGACAATCTGTATCGACATCATTTCACTCTAGACTTTTTATTTTTTAGTTTTTTTTTTATTTCTGCATATTACAGGGGTACAAATATTTAGGTTACATATATTGCCTTTGCCTTGCCCGAGTCAGAGCTTCAAGTGTGTGACTCACTCTAGACTTTGAAACTGATCAGAAACAAATGTATGTTTGACAATTTGACTTGTTCTTCACTCTGCAGGGATATGAAAAAGATGAACTGTTGAGTGTAATTGAGTAGAACAATGAACTTAGTGAGAAATGATTTGCATCGATGTAAAAATCACAAGGTGAAAAAAATTTTAAAAAAAGAGAGAAAGCCAGGCATGGTGGTTTACACCTGTAGTCCCAGCTACTCAGGAGGCTGAGGCAGGAGGATTGCTTGAGCCCAGGAGTTTGAGACCAGCCTGGGCAACATGGGAGACCTAATCTCAAAAAAGAAAATGACAAGGAAAAAAGAAAAAAATTTAAAAATGTTTTTAAAAAGAAAAAATCACAAGGTGTTTCAGGAAATGGGATGGACTTGGGCACACCATCATTCCAACCACACTCAAGTATTCAGGGCTGAATCAGAACAGGAATAACTAAAACTAAATTTTGTAATATTCTAGGAAGGTAGAGTTTGCATGTAGGTTAATCCGCAGCAACTATGGTGGTGTAGAAAGGATGGTCTTTTTATCTTTTTTTTTTCTTTTTTGTTTAAGAGATGGAATCTCACTCTGTGACCCTGGCTGGAGTGCAGTGGCGTTGATCATAGCTCACTGCAACCTCAAACTCCTGGGCTCAAGCGATCCTCCCACCTCAGCCTCACCAGTATCTACCAGGCGTGTACCACCATGCCCGGTTAATTTTTCTTTCTTTTTGTAGGGATGGGGTCTTGCTTTGTTGCCCAGGTTGGTCCCAAACTCCTGGACTGAAGTGATCATCCTGTCTCAGCCTTCCAAAGTGCTGGGATTACAGGCGTGAGCTACTCCACCTGGCATGGTGGTCTTTTGATGCTCAAAATAGGATGACCTTAAATTAAAATCTGTTTTATAATCTGAATAAAATATAAAAAGCATCAAAAAGAAAAGATACTCTAGTTATATCCATGAACACAACATCTTAGCAGCAGAGGTGGTACATACAAAAGGGAATGTGAAGGAGCAGATGTACCCTTTTCCTGTACCATCAGGGATTCCCAGAAAACAGGCTTCTATTTCAGCAGATCCCTGGTGGTGGTTTGTAATCCACAGTTCCTTCTGTTCTTAGTAGCCATCCACTACTGTGGCTGCATCCTGGATCTTGTCACAGGCAGACACAGTAGCCTGTTAATAGTTGGGAACACAGCTCTTAGAGTCAAATGCATCTGGTATCAGATCTCCACTTACTACCTGCTGGACATTGAGCAAGTTTCTTTACCTCTCTAAGCCTCAGTGTTGTCATCTGTAAAGTGGGTGAATTGCTCACACTCTACAGGGTCTCATTCACTGCATGTAAAGTACTTGGTATGGGTTAAACACTCAAGAGACGGTAGCTATTGATAGAGCTTCTCTGACATTTTAAACTTAAATGTCTATCTTTGACCACTCATCAGTCCTCCAGCTTATCACATCTGTTCTGCAGCCTTACTGAACCCCATAGTCCAGGAAACGTTCTCCATGGAAATGAGAAAATTAGATCAAATACATGCTTGATTAAAGCTGGCTGTTATCATGTACAGTACTAAATAAATGCTGTCTATTCATGTCACAGATCTCCTCACCCTGCCCAATCTAGCACCGGTCATTGATGCGGAGGAGCTTTGAGGGAGGTGTGAGTGGAAACCCGAGAGGTTTGGGATGGGGCTTCAGCCTGTAATTTTGATTGTTCACTACAGAGGGAGGATGCTTTGATGTGAGATTTGTGTGAGGTTTTTCCTGTTTGTTGGTTTACTTGTTTGCTTTAGTTTGGTCCTGGTTATTGCCACTGGGGAAAAATATTCAGAGGAAATTAGTGTCATACTGGGATCTGGCCTGTCCCTGTTTCTCCAGGAAACAGCTCTGACCAGTGGGGATTTAGAGGGTGTGTGGTAAAGGGCAAACTCTGACGTGTGTGCTGGGAGGAGAGGGGTCCAAGGTTGAGTCTGTCTTTGTGCTGCTCCAAGGGACAGGACTGGGCTGGAACATGGGCACTGTGTTGGATTTTGATTTCTTATAAAAGGCAGTGGAAACAGTTCCGCAGCCTCCACCGCTTCCCAAAGACAGTGCCCTGAGGGCTGGCAGCGAGTGGGCCCTCCCAGGTCTGCTCCTACTCAGTTGGATGAATTGCAAACTCAGAATAATTCTTTTGTAAGTAATCTACTGTGCGAGCCAATGAAATATAAAATACATTCCCCCAAAAGATTTGAACGTCATGGAACGTAATAAAAGAATTACAAAAGTTTTTTGTTGGTATTCTTGCCAAATTTGGTGTGGGTAAAACAACTGTAAGAGATTTGGAAAAAATGTCAGTAATCTGGAAGGGTTGTGATCAAGTTACTTTGTAAGTGACAAGTTCTTTACAAGAAATAGGAAATCATAGAGAACACATTGTAGCTGTGGTTTGTGCAAGAAAGGAAAGAGGGAGCAGCAAACAAGCTGTCAGAACAGCTTTAGCTGGTGCCAGAAGGTTGCCAGATAAATGCACATTTGTATCTTAAAAGATTTGTGGTACATAGTATTTTTAGTATGCATATTATTTTAATTACATGTTGATACTACATGATAATATAGTATTATGTATATAATATTTTTAAGATGAATTTCCAACTTGAACTATTAACCAGTCAACTATTAATAGTATCATGTTAGTGGGTTTATACTGTACCAGTGAATGAAGTTGTTCGTTATGTTTTGTTGACTCCTAGAAGACTGGTCTGTCAGCTTTGTTTTGTAAGATTGGAAATATAACATACAACTATGTTGATAACTATGTTAACACTATTGCTGAAATAACCAGTATCTCCAGATTCCATTTTCAATGGAATGTCTTCTTATAGTAAAACTGACCTTTCAGATTTTTCATCACATGGTTTTACTTTGCCTTCTGAGTAGTCTGTGCACATAATTGGACTTGTGGATTGCTCTGGTTCAGTGGAAGCTCAAAGACAATGAGAATTGGTATGAGCTAGAGTCCAGATGAGGGAGTGGAGAACAGGACTAGGGAGGAGTTGATGGGAAGTTGAAGGACCCTGGGGTCTCACTATTTGATGGAAATGTTTTGACTTCTAGGCATTACACGAGGTCCAAACATGACAGGATCTAACAAAGGTAGATCCTTCTAAAGCATGGTGACCTTTTAACTTCGTATGAATTCAGATTCTAGTGAATTGTTGCCTCCTTTTTTTTTTTTTTTTTGACAGAGTCTTACTCTGTCACCTGGACTAGAGTGCCATGTTGTCAGCCTAGCTCACAGCAACCTCAGACTCCTGGGCTCTAGTGGTCCTCCTGCCTCAGCCTCCTGAGTAGCTGGGATTATAGACGTGCACCACCACGCCCAGCCAATTTTTTCTGTTTTTTAGTTGCCCAGTAATTTTTTCTATTTTTAGTAGAGACGGGGTCTCGCTCTTGCTGAGGCTGGTCTCGAACTCCTGACCTCAAGTGATCCTCCTGCCTTGGCTTCCCAGAGTGCTAGGATTGCAGGTGTGAGCCACCGTGCCCGTCCAATTGTTGGCTTCTATTCACGTTAATAGTTGAAAATTTATTGTGCTAATCCAGCAGCAACATACAACCTAAAAATCCCTGGCTCTCTTGTTTCCACAGGTATTGGGGCGATGTTTCTTGACAGTGGTGCAAGTCCATTTCCAGTTCTTGACTCACGCATTACAGAAGGTCCAGCCGGTGGCTCACTCTTGCTTTGCCGAAGTGGTTGTGCCAGAAAAAAAGAATAGCAGCAGTGGTGGCGGCTTATCTGGCACGGGACACACATCTGAACTGGAGGAAGCTGTGCGATCCTGGCGGGGGGCTGCTGAGGTAACCCTGGCTTTGGGGAAGTTAGTACCTTGTTTTCAAATAGAAGAGGCTCCCGAGGGCCTTTGCCTGTTGGTTCCCAAAAGAGCCATTTCATTTAGGAATTTAAGTTTTAAACTGTTATCATTAGCTTGTTCATTCAACAGTGAATATCTCTGTGAATGCCTACTTTGTTCCAGGCACGTGCCAGGCATTAGGATGACAACCTCTGCTCACAGCCTGCTGGGCAAGTGGGCTTTCAAAAACAGGGGTGAGGGGGCTGTGATGGAGAAGTGCGGGAGCCAGAGGAAGGGCCTGTCTCTGAATGCAGGAAAGCTGGGAAGAAGGACCAGGGAGAGGCTGGCGCCCAAGTCAGGAAGGACAGGGTGGAGCTGTCTGGGGAGGGCAGGTGGTCAGCCAGGCAGCTAGGTACGCAAACAGCAGAGCTTGGCAGACAGAAGGAATGGCAAGCTCCAAAGCCACAACCACACCAGAGTGAAAGCTCAGTGAACACAGGGAATTTTGTCTGTTTTTTGATAGCCAAATCATTCTCTTTAGAAGTGCTTGGCACGTTTGTAGCTTTTTAAATTCTTTAAGATTCTTAACTGGTCAGATTCTGCCTAGATCCTCATTTTTTCAGTTGCTCTGCATGTGATCTGAGCAGTTCTCCAGTATTACTTTATTTGACTTTGTGAAGTCTTTCATATTTTGGAAGATTGGCTACTTCCCAGCACAGCAGATATGTTTATAAAATCCAGCCATCATCAGCAAGAGCCGGACCAAGAGGTTGGCTCGCTGGTGGGTAGAGATGGCATTGGGGTGGGATGGTATGGCGTTGCGATCGGGAATGGGGAGCAGCTATGGGGGAGAATCACGTGAAGATTCTCCTCTCGTGGTGACCACCCTGTGACTGAGGGCATCTGCCACCATGGGGAGCCAAAGGCACTCCTTCAGCCTCCCCAGTGGGAGACTCCAGCCGAGCATGGGATTCCTTTTCAGTCTCTGTTGTGGCACTCACTGTGCCTTTGCCACAACCGGAAGAATTTAAACTTAAATATGAGCCAGTCAAGAAGAGCTCTAAAAAAAGCCTCTCTTAAGGAGACTTTGCCTATAATCAATGACAACACATTTATTGTAGGCATTTTAATACTCCTTTGTTTCCAGTAAGAAGAAAAAAATAAACCTTCAAAGCTGAGACTTTAACTAGGACTTACTACTTCATTTTACAGAATAAAAGATTATTTATAGTTCATGAATAGTATATTGATTCATTATATAATGTCTAGTTTGAATCATTGCATAATTAATTTGGCAAAGTATTTCATTTTATGTTTTAGTAATCTTCCTCAATCACGTTTTAATACCGTGTCTCTAATTTTCTTCTTATTCCAATTTTATGCTGTTCTGCTGCATTGTTGTCATTTCTTTTGAATTTCTGTTCAGTTTCTTTTTCCTGCTTGCTTATTTATTTTGGTTTCTCTTTCATGTTAAAGGCCCTGAAATATTAATTGGAAGTTGCACATCGGGGTTGGACCTGTTTGCTTCATTGTAGATGGCCGGGCCATGGGCCCCAGACCCATGTCTGGTCATCTGGCTTTGCAGCCCTCTGGCTGCTGTGCTCCAGCCCCCAAGGGTTCAGCTCACGCTTACGAACTCTAACGCCTGGTTCAGTCTTCCCCACTTGGCCTGCTGGCATCACTCATGCTGAGAACCCACCAGCAAGAGGCCTCCTGGTGCCCCCTTGGCCTCCTCACCTTCTCCTTTTCCTCTGCCCACTTCCGTCTGTCCAGGCCTTTCTGCCCTCCTTACACTCCCTTTGCTTGTGGCTAGCGACACCACCCCACACTGCACGGAGAAAATAGAACCCCCTAACATCAGCCTTTCTTCCTCACATCACCAAAACACCACCGCCCGCCCCGTGCCCCGCTTCACACCCATCTTTTCTTCCTTCTCCTCATGACAGCAAAGGAGGTGCTCTCTCTTCCTGTCTAGGAGTGCCCTGTCCCCACCTCGCCCCTGTCCTCAAGGGCCCAGCTTCTGCAGTGGCACCCTGTGTTTTCTTTCCCTCATCCTCAGCCTGTTCCCACCAGTATACAAAGATGCTGCCAGCAGAAAAACCCACTCTGCCCTGCCTTGTTTCTCTGCTCTTTTCAGAGCCAGCTTCTTCGAGTAGTGTCTACCTTTTTCTCAGCTTTCATTCATTCTAGAAAATAATTATTGTGAAGCATTTCAAGCATATAGAAAATATCACAGGCCAGGCGCGGTGGCTCACGCCTGTAATCCTAGCGCTCTGGGAGGCCGAGGCGTGTGGATCGCTCAAGGTCAGGAGTTCGAGACCAGCCTGAGCAAGAGCAAGACCCCGTCTCTACTAAAAACTAGAAAGAAATTATCTGAACAACTAAAAAATGTATATATATAAAAAAATTAGCCGGGCATGGTGGCGCATGCCTGTAGTCCCAGCTACTCGGGAGGCTGAGGCAGGAGGATCGCTCGAGCCCAGGAGTTTGAGGTTGCTGTGAGCTAGGCTGATGCCACGGCACTCTAGCCCAGGCAACAGAGCCAGACTCTGTCTCAAAAAAAAAAAAATCACACACATCTGTGTATCTTCCTTTTAGCTTTGTCAAATCTTAACTTTTTGTCACATTTGCTTCATTCTTTTTATACATTTTTAACAGAAAAATATTACAAATGCAGTTGAACCCCCTTTATAGCTCTCCACTGTCTTGTTCACATCCCTTCCTCTCTAGGGATAACCTCTTTCAAATTTGGAGTCTGTGACTCCTGTGCATATTTAGTATTTTTACTATATATGCATGTATCCATACATAATATAAGGTATGATTTTGCACAGTTTGAAACTTTGTATGAAGAGCATCATTCAGCTCACTGAAATCTGGCTTCCATTACTACACAAGAACATGCCTTCTCTTGTCAAGGTCATTGACGCCTGCCCTCTGCGTTTTCAAATCCAAGGAACCCGTTCGACTCCATTCATCAGCTCGGAGCAACAGGCAGAGTATTTACCCCCTTGGAAATACTCTCTTCTTGTGGCATCCAAGAACCAGGCTTGCTTTCCTCTTGGGCCATGCTTTCTTCCTCTACTAGCTTCTCTTCCTCAACACAACTTCTGAATGCGAGTTTCTCCGGGCTCAGTTCTATGTGCCCTTCTCCCTAGGGAGTCTCCGTCCAGTTTTGGGACTTAAAACACCACCTGTGTCTGGAGGTGCCAAATATGTGTGCCAGCCCACTTCCTGTGAGCTCCAGGCCCCTGAATTCTCCTGCTGCCTACCTTAGGCCTCCCAGGTAGCTCGGGCTTAGCTTCTGCCCACTCACTTGTTCCTCTCCAGATCTTCCCCTTGCTAGTAAGTGGTGCCGTCTTACACCACGGGATTGTTCATTTGAGAAACCTGGGATTTTTCCTTCAGTGTTTCCATCATGTCTACATCTGTTCCAATCCTTCAGAAAACCCTGCAGGTCCCACCTCCAAGATACTATCCCAGATCTATCCACTTCTTTCCACGTCCTTTGTCACTACCCTAGTTCAGAGGATCCTTACTTCTTGCCTAGACTCTGTTCCCCACTCCCTGTCCTGCTGTCCTTCATTTTAAAATTGGATGATGTTGCTTCTCATTTCTTTAGGGTGATGTGTGGACCCTTCACATGACCTGCCTAGTCCTGCTTAGTCTGGCCTCTGCCTTGACCACTAGCTGTGTCTCTGGCTGCTTGCTCCTCACTCCCTGGGACGTGTCTCACTCTTCGCTGCCTTGGATCCTCAGCCTGTATCAAGGACCCATCAGCCCGTCCAGACACTCCTCCCATCCCCACCCACCCTCACCCAAACGCAGTTCCATCCACTATCTTCTCCTCCTTTAACTCTCAGCCTAAACGTGACTTTCTCAGCGTCTAGGGCACTCCCTGCTAGAGTACTCTGTTTCCCTCGGTGTGCTTTTCTCTGTTTTTACTTCTGCTTATTTGTCTACCTTTTCCTCCATGAAGCTGTCAGCTCCAGGAGGGCAAGGACCAGGTTTTGTGCTCCAGTAGGTATCTGGCAATACCTAACAGCACCTTGTGGACTAAATATTTGACTGAAAAATTCTTAGAAAGGATTAAACTGTTTTAAATTGTGAGACTATCAGGGTTTAGGGAATGGTTGGATTGGTATTTATATATAATTTGTGAAATCAAAGCTTTGGAAATTTACAGTATTATAGCTGCTGGTTATTTTCCTATAGTCTATTAATTTTATAAATATTACAGCTCTTATACTGGCCTAGAAGAAAAAAATTAACTGTTACAAAATATTATTTGTTTCATGAATATGATTGCAACAAAAATAGAAATTGAAAGACAGTTCATCCTGAATTCCTCCACCCATCTAATAAATGAAATATATATTTTTCTGTATTCTTTTCTAGTCCTGACCCATGTATATGTCTTTTGCATTTTATTATAACATCCAGATTAGTTTCGCCTTGTTTTTCCATCTTATATACTCTTCATAAACATTATTTAATGACTGAACAATAAAGATTTAATTTTTCTGTGCAGATTTCAAAAATTCTGTTTTTCATTAGTGTTCCCATGTATGTTTTTTTTTTTTTTTTTTTT